ATAAATGTCTCAGGTCAGAGTCTATAAATGTGTCAGGTATGAGACAATAAATGTCTCAKTTTAGAGACAATAAATGTGTCAGGTCAGAGACATTAAATGTCTCAGGTCAGAGACATTAAATGTCTCAGGTCCGAGACTTTTAATGTCTCAGGTCAGAGACAATAAATGTCTCAGGTCAGAGACTATAAATGTCTCAGGTCAGACACTACAAATGTGTCAGGTCAGAGACTACAAATGTGTCAGGTCAGAGACTATACAGTAAATGTCTAAGATCAGAGACAGTAAATGCCTCAGGTCAGAGACTTTAAATGTCTCAGGTCAGAGACATTAAGTGTGTCAGGTCAGAGACTATAAACGTCTCAATTCAGATACTCCAAATGTCTCAGTTCAGAGTCAATTAATTTCTCAGGTCAGAGAAATAGAGTCTGTCAGGTCAGAGATTATAAATTCTCAGGCCAGAGACAATAAATGGCTCAGGTCAGAAACAAAAAAAATGCCTCACGTCATAGAATATAAATGTGTCAGGTCAGAGACAATGAATGTGCCAGGACAGACACAATGAGTGTTTCAGGTCACAGAATATAAATTTCTCAGGTCAGAGACTATAAATTTTCTAAAATCTTTAGAAACAGAATTAATCTCATAATGATTTGATGTTTTTCAGTGATTTGTTTGTTTATTTGTATCAAATCTTTTGTTCTCCTGGCTTTTATTGGTAAATGATAGATTTCTGCTGGTCTGTTTGTTGTGTGACCAACACAATCTTTCCCATTTGTTGCCTCAGAGAACCAGAACAACCTGATCAGCTCGATGACGACTAAACTTCTCACTGGACAGGACTGGTCCCATTCTGTGGACCATAGCGAGCTTCACTTCTCCTACCGTGTGGTGTGTGATGAATTCTACCGCGGCACTTCTTGCTCGGCTTACTGTCGGCCCAGAAACGACACCTTCGGTCATTTCAACTGCGACAGCGAGGGAAAGCGCCACTGCCTGGAGGGCTGGAAGGGCGAGTACTGCTCAGACCGTGAGTTTCCCTGGTGGGACAGACCCTCCTGCTCCTCCCTCTGTGTTCATTCTAACATTTGTTAAGTATGGAGGGAGGGCTCGGCAGGAAACAGCCTTCTGACTGTTCATTTTGGCTCATCACACTTCACATTGTCAAGTTGGGCATTTGTGAACGTGGTTATCAGCTGAGGTGGCTGCAGAGGACAAAAAGATCTGAAAGCTTCTGCGTTTACTACTCTGTGTGCTTGAGAGTGTGTTTGGCTGTGAGGCATGTTCCTCGAGAGAGAAACATCGAGAGAGAGATCGGGAGATAGAGAGAGATATATAGGGAGATGTTTATAGGGAGATGTTGAGAGAGATATGTAAAGACAGAGAGAGAGAGAGAGAGAGAGAGAGAGAGAGAGAGAGAGAGAGAG